TTGGTTAACGCCATCGGAAGACGGGGCTCAGGAGCACATTCTAGAGGAGACGAGTCGGAGGTCGAGCCGGATGTTTGTGCAATCATGCCGAATGTAGCTGCATGTCGGTCGGAACAGTTACTCAAGTTGTTTCGCAGGCGTGGTTGCCGCGACCGAGCTTTTGGCACATCGCCATTCTCAGTACAATTGTCCGGGCCTGGGTTTCGTTCTGATTTCTTTTCGCAAGTGAATCCGGAATTTGATTCATTCAGGTTGTGGCCATGATGTTGTTGCAAACGTGGTTACTGAAACGTGAGCTTTCGACTCTCGGAATGCATCGTGGCAACGAGATGCTGCCGCATTGCATGGGTTGACAAGTCGTTGCCGAGGTATGACGAAAGAAACCAACTGCTGGCAGATGCCGCTTCCGTTGTCGCCAGGCGGTGCGTCGACGAGCTCGCATGTAATAGAAGATTGTTAGCAGGATCGCTGGGCAACATTTCTGGACAAGTGCCTTTGAAAAATCTGTGCACAAAGAATAGATTGGCTGCCCTGACGGCCAAGCAGACGTTTTGACAGATTGTTCGAGTCGGCACTGTATTCTTAATGACGAATTGTCGCACTGATGAAGCAGACAACTGACTCTCATTTTCTCGCTTGCAGGGTGAACATGGAGCAGGGCCTGAAACTGAATTGGACAGCATAGAGCTCATCTCATCGACTGCATCGGTGCAGGTGGGGCTTGTCTCAGTGCGGCATGTTCTCTGCAAGTGCATGCGCGCAGCCTCAACTCAAGAAGCATGCCCGTCATGTTTTGATTGTTTTGCTGGTCATGATGTCTCGGCTCGAACAGATTCCAGCGCACGGGCACGTGCGTCACCTAAGCAGCACCACCTTCTGTAACCATACAGCCATAGTGCTCCTTGATTTGTTGTTGTGATAGATTGGTTCGTGCTGCCGGCAGACTCCCGGCTTAGCTATCCATGCGGTTGCTCGTGGCCGCCGTGTTTGCGTTTGCTGCAGCTGGCATATGGCAGCTGGGGTTCGTTGGGCAGTGCGGCTGCAGTTATGCCAAGTGGATCCACAGGGGCATGCTTCAGTGCGTTTTTTTTATTCAGGGACCACTTCCCAACTTTGAAAAAGATGTTTCCACCACCAGGCTTAACAGCAGTGAATAGCACATCTGTTCTGATTTGTTCTTGGCATACTCGTAGCAAAAATGTCCTCTTGCCTAGGCTGATTCAAGCTCCAACTGCACCGTCCAACGTCAAAGTTGCCATGGGTGCTGCCCAGGGTGAGACAGGCGGCTCCATTCACCAGATAAATGTGAAAATGCTGTTGACCGGCTGCACGAGGCGTGACGGAGACGAGTGCTCCAGAAGCTGGGCATGCTCATGTTGGACCAACACCGGACCAGCAATGACAAGTAATGTTTACAGTAGATCAGATATAATGAACTTTCGCAAGTTTGCCATGCCACAGACAGTTGCGGCAGAGACGGCATCCCATGTCGCTTTTGGGTCCAAGGGCACCGTACGGAAAAGGGTGCGGAAGCAGCCCAAGCTGAAAGCCACCAGGGTTCCCAAGGCCAGGACGACGCTGTTGTCCATCCAGGCTTCGTGAGTGCTTCAATGACGTGCTGATCCTGCTGCCAGGTCAAGGTCAGAAAGTTGGGTAAGTCAAGAGAGGGGGCCTCGGAGAACAGTGTCTGGGATTTCATCCGCGAGAAGGATGCCGGATCGCACACAGCAAAGACTTGCCTTGAGCGATGCTGCTTTGTACCCACCACATGGAGCACAGAACACACCCTGGAGGACAAGCAAGCCATGGAGGAAGGGGCGTTCATGGACACTTTCCTTGGGCAGCTTGTCACAACAATTACGCTGGGCATTTCCGTCCTTCTCATCCTGTGGGAGATCTACTTGAATACGCTCCTTGGATGCTCAGTGGCGACCTGCGGAGAGTCGTTTCTGCACTTGTTCTCTTCACTGCTGGATTGAGGTTGTATCCGCGTGTGTATCCAACGTACAACCCGTTGAACCCACAGATCATGGTGGACGAATCCATGCAGGCCAAGTCTGCATCGAACAGTGATCGCAGCCTGGTAGTATGCCTGGCACGGTCATGTCTTGTCAACGTCAGCAGAGAGAGGCTGTCCCGCTACACATCCCACTACTATCTTTGCTTGTGCTTGTTCGGCACGGCCGTTCCAAAGCCTCTTAAGCTGGGCTTACTCACTTGGTCTTTCCCGCTGTTCCTTGCCTTAAAACTCCCTGGTCCAAACAAAGCAGCGCAGTATGTCCAACTGCCGTTGGACGATTCTCCAATCACTTGTTTGGTGCGCCCGGCAGCCCGTCACAAACTCTCAGGAGGATCAATAGCAAGATTCCAGCCGCATCTTCCGCGATCAGAGACTGAGATGATTGAGTCGCTCGCGCCGAAGTTTTGTTGGGCCTTGCATGAAGCCCTCAGATGCTGCGGGCTTGTTCTCCAACAGATCCTTGTATAGTCGTCGGAGGACTTCTTTGTTTGCACGCAGTCAGCAGGCTGGACAAGGGCCGAGGATCAGGGAACAACCTCACAGCAATTGTGTCACCATGACTCCAATTTTCCGCATGCGATTGGAGAAAGTGCACTTTGCCTGCCGCGAGTCCTGTGACTTCTCGAGCTAGGCACCAGCTAGTCTTGTAATTGTCTGCAGGTGGGCAGCTTGAGATCTTCAGTGGTGTTCAGATGGACTTCAACCTGTGCATGACTAAAACTCCTGGTCTCACGACGTGCCACATGATCCACATGCTGTGGAACGAAGCCTCTCTTGGCAGAAGGGGCGTACAGGGTCGCGATGAGTCGGAGAAAGCGACCCTAGCGAGGCTGCAGCTGTGAAAAGGGAAAACACACGATGCCGTTGAGACATGCTCAGTGCTGTCGATTGAAGCAGTGTGGCATGCTGCGCAAGGTTATTCCAACCATGTCTGGTTCGGATTGCAGCCTTGGATTGCAAGTTGCTGACCGCCGCAGTTTTGCTAGCACGTGTCGTTGTCGCCGTGTACTCGGCTCGCCCTGAAACCACTTTCGCACGAGGAGTGTGCGCCACGTGCTGTTCACCTTTGAGCTCAAAAAGAAATGAGATCCGGGAATAGACACCAAGGCTTTTCATCCCAACGGCCATTTTGAACTTCTCCGTGCTAGGCGCTAGCTGCAAAGCTGTGATCGATGCATTGTGTAAAGACCATGGACATGCCGCATATCCCGCGTTCCCAGACAACTTGTACTTGGCTGGTTGGACCCACAGCCTTCAGGGAAAGGTGGGACATAGGACAAATAGGACTCACGACTGTTCAGGGGGATGGCCGCGGCCGCGTCGATCCAATGCAGCAATGCGAAGCTCATCGTGTGGGCGCTCGTCCTCGTGGCCCTGTCCGTGATCAGCATGCTGGTTGGGGTGGTGAAAGATGCGTATTGGCCCATGGTGGTATGTGCGTCCATGTCAGTGCTGCTGTTTCTGCTGTTGTTTGTCGTGGTGTTCACGAAGACTGCAAGGGCAGAGGGTGGAACTGCCAATGACACGGAGATGGAGAAGGAGTGCCATTGTGTGTGGGCGGGTTGCAAGTTCGGAGAGCTGGACACATCGACTCCCACCGGCCTGGTGTTCAGCCTGATTTCCGTCAAGACCGACCTGAGCGACATCGAAAACAGGAGCAACACCACATGGACCGCTGTGACAACAGTTAACCGCACGCTGTCAGGGAGCATCTCTTGCCAAAAGGCTTGCGCTTGCTGCTTGGAAGACTTTGACGTAGACACCGACGTAGCTGTCCTTCCCTGCGGTCATGTCTATCACGAGGAGTGCATTGCTCGCTGGGTTTTGAGGTCCGCACGGGAAGCCTCGTGCCCTTCGTGCCGAACACGTTTCGATCACGTGGCAGAAACGGTTTTGGCAATCTAGGTCTCTGATGACGAATCATGCAGTTTCGGCCGCGGCATGTATAGGATTGCTTGTGCTGTTGCTGCTGCATGAACGAAGCCTTGCCCATCGAGCGGGCACCGAAAGCAATTGCTGCAGCAGCAAACTGCAAAGCAGCTGATGAACACATCGGAAATTTCGTTTCATAGTAGTTCGCTGAGTGACTCAGCTCAGGCGTGTCATTCATTTTTGTTTCGGCAGTGCTCCTCTGTCTTCCACGGAGCCGTAGAGCCGTGTGTCCTGCTGTAGTTCCCTTATCTGATGGACTCGCCGAGAGTATGCAGAAATCTTCAGTCCTTCATCTGCTCGAAGTACAATCCCCTCCCCGTCGGCCCCGCATGAGATCGCTTAGTGCTGTTCTCTATCCATCTCTAGCCGCTACCGGACACTGTTCTGAATTGGGAAGGCTTGACATGCCGCCTATCCAGACGAATCCACGGTAAGAAGCCTTGCGTTATAACATCCTCCAACAGAACGATTGAAAACACTGGAGTAGGGCATTTCGGGCGGGCTTTTGGGCGGGCTTTCGGATGCTTTCGGGCTCTCTAATTCCGGGAGTGCACATTTGGTACAGTATTCTTGCATGTCTGTAATTGACTCGGAGAGCGGCATAAACGATGCCAGTCGCCCTTTGTGGTGTGTGCGACAGGGGCGGGGGGGTTGGTTCACTAGCATTTTCGTGCTGTTTGAAGTTATTCATCTTCACCGGTGCAGCAATCTTCCTGATCTTCTTCCTGATGATACCGCGGTGCGATGCGATGTGGTAAGGTTCGAATTGCTTGAAGCTCGAGATCCGAAACACTCAAGCACGAGATCCAGCCCTTCACCCGACCTGCAGTCCCAAGCCGCAAAATTGGAATAGCCTGGCCTGAGTGGCAACACTTTCAAGTTGGACCCCGGTGGAACTAACTCGAGGTCGCACTTTCGAAATTGACGTGCAGTGTGTGGTCGGGAGTGGCTTGGATGCCCAATGCTATAGATGTGGAGAGTGCGCGCAGCCGTTGGCTTCTTGGGGACAGTCCCATGTTTTCGCTTGGTTTGCTAACCTGTCCATGTCATGGTCACAAGTTCTGGCTACGCGCTTCTGGCAGCACTCCTGCCATGGATAGTTTGCAGCATTCGAGGGGTACTGGAACCTGAAGGCTCAGATCCCGAGGAGGTGCCCAAAGATGAAGATCGCTTGCAGTGCCTTCGGCAAGACAACTTGGACCTCGTCGGGACCGCGGACTTCGCCAGCCGCTACATCCTGCGCCAGGTCGTAGGTGTCAATGAAGACGACACCGAGAGCGACATTTACCTTTTTGCTGACAAGTTTCGCATCAGCCGAGTGCAGGCCGAGTTAAAGTTAAGTCGCACCGGTGCAGATGCTCTGGCATTCGAGCTCGTGGGGAGCAACTCTACTGAGAAGCATACTGGACTTGGCAGTGCAGACATGAGGATCCGAGAGTTCCAGCTCGTGACCCAGAGCTCAGTGATCAGTTGTGCTACAAGTCTGGCTTCGAGCCTCGCAGAGGATTGCGACGACCCAGAAGAGCAGCGCCTCTGCTTAGCTTTGACAATGCTGCCAAAGCGTGGGTTTTTTTTGTAAGGCTAACTTGCTCAACATGGCCTTTGTTTTGTGTCTCATTGTTGAACCTGCCACAGTGGCCTGCGGTGCTTGTCCTGCAGGCAGGCCACCGTCCTTTTTCACCTCGCCGGGACGATACGTGCAAAGAAGCACAAAGGTCGCTGGGAGGCGGACATCGTTACGAAGGAGGCGCGGGCATTTGGTCCGATTCAGCTGGTCACTAGTCGTTTGCAGCTTGAGGCTTCGAAGTTGTGAAATGAGAACACCACTCCACGTGGTGGCTTGTAGCCTGATGCAGATCAACATGTCCAAAGCCTCTCAGATACAGCTTTTGAGATGATTGGTTCCTATCATCGGTTAGGCCGGTTAGGTAGGTCTGGGATAGAAGGGTCACACTGCTGCTTGTGATAAGCTGCCTGTTCAGGAATATTGTTGATTGATATCCTTCCGTGGCCTTTTTGGGTCGAGGCGATCGCCTCCAAGGTCCGTGAAGGATCTGTTTTGTGGCGCGGGAAAGCTCCAGGGCCTGGGATGGCTGGTTGGGGTCAGGACGACTGGGATGCCCAAGTGCGGGCCGTGATCAAGGCCGTGATGACCAAGGCTATCGACGTGATCGCGGTCAGGGCGGAGGATATGGGCGCGGATATGGTGACGCCGCCGTCGCAATGACGATCGTCGCCGTGGGGTGATGGTCAATTCCTACAGGTTGCTCACAACCCCTACGAAGTTCGCCTCCCTTACTCCCTGGAGCCGATCGCCGAGTGTGAGGACAACGATCGAAAGACATCCATCATCATGGTGGCTACCAGAGACGATCGGCGTGGTGGGTGAGAGAGTTCATGACGAACTCTTCAAGTTCGATCAATGTGCTCATGGAAAGGGGTCTGGTGATGCCACCTCAGTCAGGTTTTCACATGTCCTTCTTCGCCAACTACACGCTCGATGGTGTCAAGGTGGCTGTGGCGATATCGGTCGTTTCGTGGCCGGTCCTGAATGACAGATCGCCCTTTACACTGACGTGAAAACCTACAGCGGGAACGAGCTCGCCGAGATTATGCATGATGGAGCAGCTGTGGCTCCAGTGCCAAGGGGCCCGCCGGCGATCGCCCAGGGTGCTTGGGCGGCTGCCTCTGAGTCGGCCAGGCGATCGCCGATCTGCCGCAGAGCTCTGGTGAGTGGCCCTTCGTGCTCAGGTCGAGCCGGTCAACTACGATCAGCACCTGAGGTCACGTCTCGGACCAGCGGGATGCTGCTCGTCAGGACCGGTCGTTCTCCAGGTCGACGGCAAAACTCACGCCGCAGACGGTCGCGCAGATGACGGGGCCGGCTCGGTGTTCACCTCCGGCTCGGCTTCTTCAAGCGCAGCGAACCCAGCTCATCAGTCGACGGTCGTGGTCGGCGAGGTCACCGAGGCTGAGCCTGATCAGGGCGTCTCGGAGTCCAAGAGAACTTGACGGCGGCGATCGGTGAGCCGGCGTCTATAAATTCAGGCCTCACCGGAAATCGGCAAGGCGATCGCCCAAGTTCTGATTTTTGGGTGGGTGGTCGCGAAGGAGACCCAGCTCGAACGAGCGATTTAATTTTGCAAAGCTCCCGCCTTTTGGCAGGCTTTGACTTCACTCGAGACTGCCCGCTCTGGAAGAGCAAAAAAAGAACAGGACAGCGTGATCACCCGAAGTGATTTCGGCAGTCTGTTCTAGTGCGCTAATTCCTCGAGCAGTGCTGCATCAGTTCTTGCAGATGTTCATGTCATGTTCGCTGGCCTCGCTCACGCTGACATGTTCTGTGTATTTCTGTGTGCAGTAACATGTTCATGGCTGTGCTGCTTGTCCTTTTCTGCAACATGTACACATGCAGTTCCACTTGACAGTCTGCATCATCTTCCTGAAGCAGTTCTTGAGGTGGTGCATGCTGTCGTCCTTTCGTTCTTTCTCCTCTCTCGGGGCGGGGGTTGGGGCGAATGGGTGACTTGGGGCTGGGTCGCTTGTTGCTTCGTCTCCTGGCCCCTGATGCCTGGCGATCTAAGTGGCACCTGCAGCCTCTCGGCCTAAGTTCTGGGCAGGATGCTGCAGGTCGCAGCGCCAGCTCATAGATGGACAGCAAAGATACTCGCATATCCGTGTTTTGATCCTCCGTTCGTGGAGGCTCTTCTTGGCGCACGGCTATGCTCGCGATGGAGGTTGACTCTCCAAGCATGTTCGCTGCCACAGCTTTCAAGTGGACGGCAAAACGCGCGCCGGCCGCGCGCAAGGTTTTCACTTCGCGACCACATATGCTAAGGCCTCCGAAACTGTCTTTCTCGGAGTCGCTCCGCTACCAGATGGGCTTCGCTGAAGATGCGAGAAAGTACCGAGACAACGAGATGCTGAATCGATCGCCCAGTTCCAACATGGTTCGCGCATGTTCGCGCTCTAGCTGCACTAGTTCTGGCCCCCAAAGCGAAAGCATCGCTCAATGCTGCCGCTGCCTCGAGCTCTTCTACCCCTCTCCTGGATCAGGACAACGCAGAGAAGCAGAAATGGGCTAAGCGATTGAGGTCGATCGCTGATAGAAAAGGAGATCATGCCAAGCCGCCGGCACCTGTGAGAATGAGATCTTGTCACCAGAGGAGTGGGCTCGTCTGCAGCTTTGGCCCCTCCCTCAACCATGGCGAAGCACATTCGGTTCTTTTGAGAAGTTCGAAACATGGGCGCACAGAGCAAATTCGAGGTCTACCCCATCACAGCGGACAAGATCCTCAAGTATGCCATGGAGCTCGACGGTCGAGATTGCGGCCCAACGGTCATTCCCTCTTTGCGAATGGCTCTTCGATGGGTGGCTCTTCGGACGAATATCGCGATGCCATCGATCTACACTGCTCCGCTAACAGCTCTCGAGAAGGAGATCTTCACTCAAAGGGGGGAAACCACTCAACATCACTCAAGGAGGCGGAACCGTTTCCCGTCGAGCTCGTCATGGTCAGGACCGGCAAGCTGCCGGCGTTGCAGACGACGCAGCCAACGATGGCCGGAACCCCGGAGAGGAAACTCCCCCGGGGGCCACGTCCACTTCCTGCCACTGCTGCTTGCCACTGTTTGCCTTTGTCCCGTGTCTGTTGTGTTCCCTTTGTCGTTCTGTTTTTGTTCTTCTTGTTTCCGTTGTTCACTGTTGGTCCGTCTGTCGTGCCTGCTGCTTGCCTTGCTGCTGCACTAAGGTCCTCGGTGGGGGTGGGTGCGTGTGCCCAGTGGGCCACGTCCACTTCCTGCCGATGCTGCTGCTTGCCGCTGTCTGCTGTTGTCCCGGGTGTCTTGGTCCCTTTTGTCCTTCTTTGTCTTTTGGCTTCTGCCCTCCCTGTTGTGCTTTGCTTGCCCTGCTGCTGGTGCTGCTGCTGCTGCGTTCCTAAGGTCCTCGGCGGGGGTGGGTGCGTGTGCCTGGTGGGCCACGTCCAACTCCCGCCGCTGCTGCTTTTCGTTGTCACGTTTGTCCTTTGTGTTGCGTTCCGTCCCCTCCGTGTTCGTTCTCGTTGGTGTCCTGTCTTCCTTGTTGGTTCGTCTGTTGTGCCTGCCCCTTGCCTTGCGCTGTACTAAGGTCCTCGGTGGGGGTGGGTGCGTGTGCCCAGTGGGCCACGTCCACTTCCTGCCGATGCTGCTGCTTGCCGCTGTCTGCTGTTGTCCTGGGTCTCTTTGTTCCTTGTGTCCTTTGTTTTGTGGTTCTTGCGGTTCCTGTTTTTGTTTGCTGTGCTTGCTCCTTTGCCTTGCCGCGGCGCTAAGGTCCTCGGTAGGGGTGGGTGCGTGTGCCCGGCGGGCCACGTCCACCTCCTACCGCTGCTGCTTACCGTGCTGTCGTTCTGCGGTTGTCGGTTCGTTTTCTCCGGTCCTGATGTGTTGCCCTTCTGTTTTTGCTGGGGTTCAGGGTTGTCGGGGATTTTTGTGCCCGGTCTGCTGAAGGTGACAAAGTTTAGTATGGGCCCCGGAGGCGAATTCTCCCTTTTCTCCTCCCGGCTCCAGGCTCTTCTTGGCACCGCACCCCTCTCTCGACTCCAGTTTTTTTTTTTTGCCTCTCCTGGCAAGTGATCACTCGACGCGTAACTGTTGGAAGGGCACTGATGCTTTTCATGCTAGCGGTATCGTGGTTCAAGAGTCCCGAAAAAGCTCGGGAATTGCAGTGCGCAGAGGCGCTCTCTGCCGGCTCTTTGTCGAGCCGAGAAATCTACCTGCAGTAGAGTAGGCCTCGTGGGTTGAAGTTGTCCTTACCTGGGTCAGGCCATGCATCGGTCAGACTCTCGAGACCAAGGCAGGTCGCGCGCAGATCACATCCCAAGGTGGGCAAAGAGGTCCCGAAGCCGTAGTACATCACTCCGTCGTCCAACAAGGTCGGCAAGATCGAGAAGCCCACTTGCACATCGTGAACCTCCAAGGTCCAGCCGCCCCAAAGTTCGAGCACAACCGCGCACACCAGAGGCACATCATAATGAAAACAAGATGCAGCTGATGGTTGAGGATGTGCTGCAGACAGTGCGGTCGGCTTGTGACTCAATCGAAGATCATGCCGAGGAGTTGGGCACGACAAATGCTCTCAAGTTGCTGGCAGATGCTATCAACGGTCTCCAGAAAGAAGATCGAATCATGGGGACTGGCCCTGACGAGACACCGACGAAGCCCACAAGTCATCCTGGAAAGGACCTTACACCCCAGTACTCCCGGAAGCAGATGGATGAAGCTCAGCGCGCGGTACAGAGCTGCGTGCAGATGATTCAGGAAGCCTTCAAGCGCGTGGCGGAGGGTAGAGCCGCTGGGGCTGCTACACAACTCTCCTTGTGCTTTGACCGCCCACCGCGGTCTGCCAAGGAAGTGGCCCTGCGCCTCCAAAGCTTATTCAATGGCAACCCCACGCTGCCAGTCGAATACTTAGCTGAGGAAGCGGGAATGACCTGGCAGAAACCTGCGGCCAGCGCGTGGTATGCAGAGAAAGGCGGGGATGCTCGGAATGTAGTCTTCCGCATCCATGTGCCAGCGAGGGCTACTTTCCGCAAGGCGTCCAAGATGAGTCTGCAGTTCACCGTGGAATCTAGGACCCTAACGATACAATCCACCAAGGTGAATTTGATTGAGTTTGCGGCACCTTTAGTGGCCGCGTTTGGTCCTGTCGGGACAGCTAGCCCACTCCAAAGTGCAGCTGTGGATATTGATGTGTCCAGGTACTTGCCCAGGAGGTGAGTGCTCCTAGTGACAGCGGTGGGCCTGCGCAGCACAAGACAGTTGTACCGCCCTCTCAAAATTTTGACTTTACCAACCAGACGCGTGAAAGGACCAACAGGAGCGTGAACAACGCGTTGCTGCTAGTGGTGACTCGAGTTTTTGTTTTATGTGTTCTCTTTTTTCTGTGGGTTTTTAGGGCATTTCAACAAGGGAGGTAGGCATCCAGAACTTTGGGCCTTGGAGATGCATCGTCTTACATATAAGTTTTTGTTGTAGCGATTTGAGAGTAGGCTTGGTTGTTTTGCTTCGTCTCTCGCTCGTTGAGCGGTGCGGCGATTATAGGCTGGCGAAAGCCTCAAACAGTGAGCATGCCGGACACATGACGTTAGGTTTGTGGCCATGTACACCTAAAGATGCATCGACCTACACATAAATTTGCTTGATGAACAGTTGGGCGTTTACAGGCAAGTGAAAGCCTCAAACAGTGGGACCCTTGGGCGTACCTTGAGTTGCGTTGACTTGCTTTTCAACCTGTAGGGGAAGTGAGGTTGTGTTGTGGGTTTTTTGCGTCCGTTGATGAATGACGGCTTTGTTCTGTTTGACAGCTTCCTCCCAGCACTTGTTGTGGGGAAGTTGTCCACGTGAACTTGAGGTTGCACGATTGCTTGCCCAATTTCTTTAACTCCGCTTGAAGAGGGTGAAATCTGCGGGTTCCGGCGAGTTGAAGCCTCAAACCGCGGTCCGTTAGACACTTGGTGGGCAAGGTAAGTCGACCATGAGCAGCTGTGGAGTCATCGGCTTGCATTTAGGAAGGGTATGTCTGACTGTTTTTATTTCGCTTGCAGAATGACAAACAGGCGATGTTCAGCAATTAAAAGCCTCGCAGGATCTACGAAACATTCAGTGATAGGGGTGATTGTTTGATGGTGGTTTTTTTTATTTAGAAATCGAAGGCAACGGGGTTGGCATCTTTCTTGATTGGTTTTAAGAGTTGTTTAGGAGAGGACTGCTTGCATTAGTCATGGATTTACTGCGAGAGACGTCGCCCGAACAGCTGGCCTCGTGGGCCAGTGAAGACAGTGTCAAAGCTGCCTGCAAGCAGCTTGGCGATTTATTGAGCCGGGAGTTGCCGCGGAAACACCAGGAAGGGAGAGCCATTGCCTTATGGAAGGCAATGGCGCTTAGACGTGACATTCGGGCATTGCTCGAGGCCCAGCCCCAGCATGGTGTTTCTGATGTGCCCGCGGCGCTGGCCACACACAGGACCTTTGATGCCTTTCTGAGGAAAGCCTTGCAGTCTGCTGACAAGCGGCTCGCTGTTTCAGCTGCAGGCCTTCCCATGAATGCAATCTATGGGGGTTGGGAAGGTGGCCTCACGGCTGCTGAATTGCCAGATACTGGTCACGGCAAAGCCCTCCCTCGAGTCATCGCATCTCTCAACGTGAACGGATTGTTTGCGAGGAAATCTAGTACGTTGACGTGCCAGTTTCACACGACAAGACTCGCAGCTGAATTGCACAGTCGGGGAGTCTTGGTTGCAAGTGTGCAGGAGCCTTGCCTGCCACCTGGTGCGCCTTGGCCCAAGTGCGGGTATGTGTTTATAGGAGACCGCACTTCGGAAAAGACAACAGTGGCAGCGTTAGTGTTGGCAGAAGCAGATAATTCGATCCTACAAATTGAAGGCGTTGGTGATCAGAGAAGCATCTGGTTAGAAGTTCCAGCGGACCGGCAATCTTCCACTCAGGGAACAGATGGCAACTTGATCTTGCTGTGTGTGTATGCACCACATACGGGGTACCCAGTCCCACTAAGAAGAGCATTCTGGCAAGAAAGACTCCGTGAATGGCAGATGCTCAAAAGTCGT